GCCGCCTGCTCGTTCAATCTTTTTCTTGAGACCGTCTGAGATGATTTTATTAAAGGCTTCTACCTGGCCGTTTGCTTGTGGACGGCCGACAGATGCAAAGTAGTGTGCAATTCCTTGGTCCCCCAACCAGCTTTTGAGAACAGGCATCTCAAATTGGGGACCATTATCAAAAACCATAGACATGGGAACCCCGAACCGAGTGATGACGTTTTTCCAAATGAATGAAATTACATCTTTCGTCTTGATTCCCTTTACAGCCTCCGCCTCTACCCATTTAGTGAAGTAGTCAACGGCAACAAGTATATACCTTCTGCCGCCTGTAGCAGGCGTATATGGACCCAGAATGTCCATGCCCCACTTAGCAAACGGTAGTGGGCTGTGAATGGTAGTGAGGTCAGTAGCCGGACGGTGAATTAATTTGCCAAACCTTTGGCACTTGTCACATTTTTTCACCATCTCCATTGCATCTGCTTCCAAAGTAGGCCAAAAGTAGCCCTGCCGCCTTGCCCTTTGAGCAAGCATCCTACCACCTATATGAGAAGCACAGAAACCAGAGTGAAGATCATCTAGTATCTCTCGTCCCTTTTCAGGAGTAACACACTTTAAGAAGGGTTGAAGGTACCCCCTCTTGTGAAGTTCTCCCTGTATCATTTCAAAACAGGAGGCTCGTTTTTTCAGTGCTGCCGCCTGACTTCTTTCTTCGCCATGGTTCCGCTTCTTTTGCCGTACCGGCTTCTTTTTCGGATCCACATCGAGTTTATGTACTGCCAGATCAGGACTAATGCCTGGCATTTCATGGACTTCAAATGCAAAGATGTCCTTGTATTCTTTCAATAGGTTGTGAAAGTCGTCACCAAGGTTTCTCAGAGCAGTCGTCCCAACTTTGACTGTTCGGTCAGGACGTGAGTCGTCTAAAATCAGGTCCGCATGCTCACCAGCCGGCTGAGGGCGGAACTCATCCGGCCGCTCCTCTGCCAATGATTGCTATTTTCTTGCTTTTCTTGCGGACTCTGTCTGGGACGCCTTTCTCTTTTTGTCGCCTGTTTCTTGAACAGGCGCACTCTCCTTGACATTGTCAAGGTCTGTTTTTTCTCCACTTGACCCAGTGGCCATAACAGTGGGCTTGACATCCGAGAGATAGCACTCTCGGGCCATCCTCTGATCTCCCCTTAGGGAGCCGACTGTTCCATTATCCCTCTCAAACTTAAGCAGCATAAGAGACGCGATTATAACAGCCTTGGAATTATTCAGGGTTGGTCGACCCAGAATCATGTTGTAGGCCGAGAGTTCCTCTACTACTAGGAACCGGACTACCATGTGTCGTCCTTCCCCTTTTTCGCCCAGGCGAATGGGTAAATCTACTCGTCCCAGTGGGTGGACGACTCCTCCTCCAAACCCTATTAAAGGGTGGGAGGCCGGATGTATGCAGTCCGTCTGATATTTCAGTTTTGACAGACATTTGCTGCTGACGAGATCTGAGGAGCTCCCGGTATCTATGAGGATTCGGCCAACTCTCTGGTTGGCCACTTTACATTCAATAACGAGAGGGTCGTCATGCGGCCCCCTTACCCCTCCTAGATCCTCTTCAGTGATGACAATCTCAGGAAATGTATATTTGGACGGCCGTTCTTGGTGAACGGAATTTACATCTAACCGCCTTATATTATCTTTGTTGCCCCTAATAGTGGGGCCGCCTCCTGAGAAGCCGCCTGCAATGGTGTAGACGACTGCATCATCTGTATCGGAACTGTCGGCCTGTTGATTCTTTTTGGCCGACTGCTTTTTTGAGGAAGTGTTCCCCATAGATTTCTTGACATAAGTGTCAAGATCACCTTGCTCAGCCAAGCGGTCTAGGTACCGCATGAGACTGATGCAGTCATTGGTGTGATGACCAACGTCATCATGATAAGCACAGATTTTGTCTTGGTTCCGGTTGTTTGCAGAACCCTTCATGGGGACCGGCTTCTCAATTGAGAACCGTCCCTTTATTTCTTTTAGGATAAACTGGTTATCCTTGTTAAACACATACTTTGGGGAGTATGGTTTGAATTCTTTTTTCTTTTTCTGGGCCGGCTGTTTAGAGGAATCAACCGCCCAGACCTTTTTTCTTTTCTCATCTTTGTTAGACGACTGTTTCTGTCGTCCTTCTCTTTTGTCGAACCTTTTCCCGTCCGACTGTTTTATCGTACACAGATCAGTCGCCTGTATATAGGCTTCTGCTTCAATCAAGGCCTCTTGAAGAGTCGCCACCCTTTTTCGAACTAAATCAAATTTGAAGGTAGACCCGTCTTTGAGACCTCTAAAAAAGTCAGTATAAGCTACCTCATCCGGTAACCCTTGAATCTGTATTCTCATCAGGTTGAACCGCCTGATGTAAGAACGAAGCCCCTCCTTCTCGCCCTGCTGAATTGTTCCCAAATCAAGGGTCGTTTTCTTCGCAGGGATGTTCATGGCGAAGTTGGAGGCAAATAAGTAAGCAAGCGTCCTGAAGCTGTTTACACAACCAGCCGGCAGGTTGCCGAACCATTGCTGTGCGATTCCCTTGAGAGTCGCTGGGAAACACTTGCACCAAGTGGGATCATCCAACCCTTGAAGGTACATCAGGTTGGTGAATGCCATCAGATGGTCTTCTGGGTTAGTAGTGCCGTCATAGGCGCCTACTAGTACATTTTTTACTTTGGCCGGCTGAGCGGCTTCAGTAATTTCCTTGGAGAAGGCCGACGGCTGTTCACCAAGTCTAAGCAACCGTAGCTGCCAGTCCATAGGTTGGACGTTTTTTGCTGCAGGTCCACCAAATGGAGGTGGCTGCATAAAATACTGTTGTTGCGGCACAAATGGTAAGTTTGGTACCGCCTGGGCACTATGAAAGCCGGACTGACGGGAGGTGCCGCCTGACTGACTCTCATGGTACGACTGAGTATGCCTCATCGAGGCATTTCGCAAACTGTCTTGAAAATTTGAAGTAGAAGCCGACTCTGACAATCGGTCACTCTTCTTCTGCTCTAGCAGAAGCCCAGCATCTGTGAACGTTTGCTTTGACCCGTCCGCCTGAATATGACGAACCGGTTTCCTATTTCCCGTAGGATAACGGAATTTTGTGAAATCAAGAGCAGGTGGCTCCCGCTTCTTGGATTTAGGATGAGGAGTCGCCTCTCGCCCTTGAACTGGCTTCCTCTTCAGTGAAGTGGAAGGTTTTTTGGCCGACTGCTCTTTGACTGAAGCAGGCGGCTTTTTGTTGATCAACTCTTGAATCTCTCCCTTGAAGTCCCTCATGAAGGTCATGAGTTCGTTCCTTGTGATGGGAGCAGACCCATCAGTCGGCTGTTGCCGAGCAGGCTGTGCGCCTGCTGGCTCGCTTCCTGTTTGAAGATGCTCCCGTTCCCTCCTTTCGGTATGACGGGTACGTCGCGCCCTTAGGGTCCCGTCTGGAGCTGTATGAGTTTCCACTTCAAATTCACTTTCGGTGTCATGGTCCGACTGAACTTGAGGGTCGTTTAGGGGACGCCTCTCTTCAGGAGTCGGTACAGACTTGGATGCCATCTCTGAAGTACTCTCCCCACAGACGGCGCCAAATGTTTCGGGGTTTTCTGATGTCCTGCGGGAGAGTTACAATTCCGAGACTGGAACCGGACGCCTGTACCTGCAAAATAACGGAGACTCCTGAGAGCTCCGCCTCCAACGGTCAAGTTAGTACCTGATTAAGGAGTAATTAATACGGAAATTAAAGTAATAAGACCTCTCTAGGTGAGAGTGTTTAATGTTGGTAATCTGCTTTGTTAGCGAGATTAGCCGGTTATTAGTGTTCCGTAATGTTTCTGTTCTTCTCTGTTCTTCAGGTGAGATTAATTGCTTCTCAATTGCTTGATCTTTTCTTGAATTCTTGATCGCTTAATTAATGAGGATTAATTAAGTATTTATAGTCTTGAGAAGCGTGCCACTCTCTAGGTTTAGGGTAAACCTAGGGCTGACCGGGCCTCTAGACAGGATTGGGCCTTGTTGGCCGGTTTTCCCATTTGGCATGGGTGGACACGTGGCGTGCCTCGATTGGTCCGTAGAGGACGTATCTGTGATTGACACGTGGCAGGCTCCTATTGGCCTTCGTGAAGGACACGTGGCGGAACCTGGTTGGTCCACTTGTCAAACGGTGATTGGTGGATAAAAATCCCCTAATCAGCAAACACCAATATATGTCTGGCTTGTTTAGTTTCCCTTATTTAATTTTACTTATTTCAGATCAGATTAGAAAAAATAAGTTCGATTAGAAAAAATAATTTCATATATACTTTATCATCATTTATGTGCGGTTTTTTGACGTTGAAGATCTTTAATTTTATAATAAAAAATTAATAAAAAGCTAGACACATCATTCTAAATATATCAATACTCCACTTGATATATTTTTTCTATATATATATATAAGGCTGTAACAAATAAAATAATTTAATTAGATCAAATCTATCTGAAAAATCATATCAAATCAGGCCACAAAAAATAAATTTAGATCATATAAGACAAGCAAAGATAAGGTGAACAAAATAGACCTTTATTAATTATTAATTTATTGTGTTATTTGATATTGTAATCCACTCTTCATTGCTAAGGGCTTGTTTGACATCGTTTTTTGTTTTCAGTTTTCAATTTTTTTTTTTTTTTTAAAAAAACAAAAAACAGCAATCAAGAAAAAGGTGTTTCCACTTTTTTATTGTCAGTTTTCAAAATTATCATGATTTTAATAAGTTTGACTAATTTTTATAAATGTTACATATAAAATTAAGGAATATATTCGAGTCATTGTATTTGTACACTTCTCAAGTAGGATTACTAACTTTCAACTTTACCATTATTTGGACCGAAAATTCCCAACAAATACAAATGTTTTATCAGTATTGAAGTTTACCTCTTAAATGTAAATTAAACTAATTAGTTAGAAAATTTAACTAGCCACCTTTTATTTCCAATAATACGCCTAGTTAAAATTTGAAGTGTAAAAATGAACTTACGTGCGGTGCGGGTGTATCCAAAATGGCCACAGCAGTGATCACTAGTTCCAACAACCTGTAACACACATAGTTATTGTAATTAGTTATCGTAAGATCCAGATCCAAAAAAGTTACTTGATCCAAAATTTGAATAGACTACTAATTTTTTTTAGATGTAAAGTTTGGGTGGTAGAATTATAATAAGATTCTACTATACAAAGACGATTCAATAATCCGATCCAACTTATAATATGTGGTACATCGATAGTTTAACATGAAACTAATTTTAGGATGATTTCTGTTACAAATCTGTTTAATTTTAGTCATGCATTATTAAAAAAAAAAACAATATAAAAATAAAACTCCATAATAATAATAAATGTTCCAAAAAAAAGAAAAAAAAGAAAAGTGAAGATTTGTGTTGATGATCATAGCAAAAGTTATAATTTTGACAACTTTGCATAGTTGATATGTCTTATCAATTACGGAGTACAACTTATGTTATGAATTTTGACTATTTTCTTTAAATGAAACCATGACGTTTAACTTTCAAAACAGTCTTTTTACTAAGATTAGCTGAGAAAAGGGGATGTAGTTTTGTATATCAAGCAAATAACAACATAAACACTTTCATTTTCATATTTAGTTTGATCATATATATAATCCTAATATCCTATACATGGGGGGGGGGGGGTGGGAATTCCAATCTTGTTCAATTTTTCATTTGGATATGACTTATGAGAAGATTAAAAAACAATAATTACAACTTGATAATTAACAAGGGAATCTCAGTTTCTCATCATGAGGAAAACTTTTGTTCCTTATAATGGCATTTTGGAAAATAATGTGATGTTTTTCACTAGTGAGGACCGCCTGTCAATTTTGGGTGAAGTTCTCTGCTCTTGACACATACCCTATGAGGAACAACCTCACAGTGAGGAACAGAGAATTACTCATTATTAATATTAGCTAGGTTGAAAATCAACCAGTTGAAGGTTGAAAAATAATTTATAAGAAAAAAGACTTGTGTATAGTTTGTCAATTTTTAGGATTACAGAAAGGCTTAAAGAACATATGATGCAAATGGGATAACTAAGCTAATGGCAATAACAACATAGCATTAGATCGATGTACCTCAGGAGTAGCGTCGAATAGGAGGTAAGGGCAAGTTCCAGTTGAGATGCCACTAGCTTGAACACTGTAGGCCTTCAGTCCATTACAAGCTAATCTGAATTTCTCAAGTGCATCTTCCGGCGTAAGGGTAACGGCCCGAACAACTGTAAGGTGAGGAACCAGCTCGGGGCCACCGAACTCTGATCGGAGTGTGTCCATCAGCTTCTTCAGTCTCTTTTTCACGTGTTCCGGCGGAATCGCCCACACTGAATACGCATGTGGTTGGGTTTCCATGGACCTTAAGGATTTTGGTCTATACGATTGCAAAGTCTAAACTTTAAAGTAACATATATATATGCATACTTTTATAACACTATAATATCATTAATTTAGCTTAACCAAGCTACTAAGGGGCCCATCTTTTCGTTTAATTTGTTCTCTGTTGATTAATGGTCAACAATGACGACTACTTTGTAATAAGGTTATGTTTAGTGTTACTTTATTAGTATTGACCTCGATTAAGTATTGGAGTATAGCACTGTTGTGCCTAAATTTTCATCATAGATTTACTTGTTTGCAAGTTATTAGGTTGCAGGTTATCACGAAGTCAGCAATCTGGTTCTAAGTAACTCAAAGAAGGCAAATGAAGACTTTTCCAAAGAATATTTCAAGAGTATCCCAATTGAATAAGAGTGCCAAAAGAATCGAAACCATGAACCCTAGCTTGCTATTGCTGAAGTCCAATTCAAACTGTAACGAATAAGTGCACAAGGAAAATGACAAGGAAATTGGAACTAATCTAGCCAACTAACTCAGGGAGGAAGCCGTTGAAGCTTTTCAAAGATGATTATCTTATTATAAACAGGAAGAAGATCATTGTATAGAGGCATCACAAATATTCAAGCCTTAGCATTCATAGCAATTAGCAATTATTAGCAATCAATAGCATCGTTACAAATCTGTTCTAAACCTAGAGTGTACTTGTATCAACCTATCTACCTAGTGGATTGGTGGACTTATAGCCACCCGTAGTTTTTACCCTTATTCCTGGGGTTTTCTGCGTCATCATCTTGTGTCTCTTCTCCCCTTTCCCCTTAGCTCATTTTCTGCATATCATTCATCTTCATTTCTTGAACCTGGATTGCCATTCACATCCTCATTAATCTAGCTGTTTTCCAATTGAGCCTGGTCTTATCTGGCAGTCAGATTTTTGACCTATACAAGCGCCTATATGCTTTAGAAACAAATAAGATGACATTTTTGTGAATAATGGAAACATGAGAAAAAGCATTGGTGGAAATGCGCCAGGTGGGAGGAATAGGTGACATGTAGAAGGTATTTTGGGGGAAAATATTCAACGATATAATAAAATATAGGATGACGAAAAGTACCACTACATGGTGAATAATACTATTATAATTCTATTAAAACAACTTATACTTTAATGGTAAATTATACACATATAATAGTAACAAAAATGTACCACTGTACCATTAAGAGAGAGAAACATTAAATGAAAAAGTTAAAATAAAATACCCAGATTACCCTCCTATGTGCATGCGAAATAAATAGGCGCTATGCGCCTAGCGCCTAGATACACTCATACAAATCTAATATATATCTTGTCTAGTTAATCTTGGTAGATAACTATTTGTCTAAATTTTAGTTCAAGGAAAAATTGCCCACAATAATCCGGCCTTTGCCTCCATCCGCCCAAAATAATCTCACCTTTCGATTATTTTTTAATAATCCGACCTTTAATGTCAATTCGCTGAAAATAGTCCCAAGTGACCGATAACCTGTTAAATAGGTAATTTTTTCGGTTTAAAGTGTACATGTCACCACATAATTTGTCTAAATTTTTAAATAAAAAAAATTGAATTAAATAAAAAAAAAAGCAGCCCCCAGCCTCTGCCACCGCCGCCGAGTTGCAACACCAGCCACCGCCAATTTCAAGCCCTAAAAACCGCGAAGCCTCGACCACCGCTGATTTGAATCCCTACACATCGCCGAAGCCCCAACCTTTGCCGATTTAAAGCCCTAACCACCATCGACGAATTACAGCCCCAGCCATCGCAATGTTGCTATTGTGGGTGGTTGATCTGAAAAGGGAGGCCAAAATCAGGGCACGGGAAGGTGAGGGAGGCAAAATTCGAGGCGAGGAATGGGAGGGAGGCCGGAATTAGGACAGGGGAAGGGGAGAGGGGCCGGAATCAGGCAGAGAAGGGATTTTCGAGGGTGGGGAATTGTTTTATTGGTTTTTCGTGGGGGAGGGAGGGGGTTGGTGGTTCGAGGGAGGAGGAGGGGGTCGGTCACAGCGCCGACGTCGGTGCTGGGGGAGTGGGGTCTAGGTGGCCAGAGCCGCAGGTAGGGGAGTCAGGCGGCGGGGAGGGTGGTTTGGGCTGGTGGATTTTAAATTTTTTATTTTTTTTATTTTTTTAAAAAATTTCAACTTTTTTTTTAATTTCAACTTTTTTTTTAAAAAAATTATTTCATTTTATTTTTATTTTTTTGACCAATCACAGGCTGACACATGTCACATATGTTATAACAAGTTACATGATCGATTGGGACCATTTTTAGCATATTGAAATCAAAGGTGGATTACTAAAAAATAATCAAAAGGTGGGATTATTTTTGGTGGATGAGGTAAAAGTTTGATTATTCCGGGCAATTTTTCCTTAGTTTAATCATGATCTTATATCGTTTGAAGTTCTAGATAGCTATAACAAGAGGGGGGTTGAATTGTAGTATGGGTGAAGTAATGAACTTTTTGCGGAATTAAAACAATGTAAAACAATAGAGAGAAATGATATGGGCTTTTCTGAATTTCCACTATGTAAATCAAACTCTTTTACAAGTGAATAATAAACCCGGACGAAGTTCCACAAGAACGGAACTTGTTCCCAACTCTCTTAGAAGTTTCGACTCTGAAACTTCCTTCACCTCACAAGTTACAACTCTCACAAATACCCCAAGATCACAATTACAATAAGTAATACAAGACCTAATGTACTAGAGAATTTAAGAAGTATTTTGGAACTCTCTTCACGCTATTATATATTTCGCTCACTGGAATATTTATGCTCAAGAATTCTGTACACCTTGCTGAGATCGATTGCATGAGTTTATATAGTGGAAGCAAAGTCATTAGACACCTCCGATCCCATAACTCCCATATACACATGTCTCCAAGTAGTGGAGAGTAAGTGACAAGTGGTGATCATGGGTGTCTTCCTTTGCTTGCTCACCAATCCACAACAACCTCAACAAAGTCTCTTATAATTTAGCCATGAAATAACCGGATGAAAGTGTATGATAAAAACCGGCTATTTTGACTTATTCAAAAAAGATATTTTATAAATTACTTTATTTGAAAGGCAATAATATAAAGTATATATTTTTGTTAAAAAGATAATAACTAAATTAGATTTATTTATAAAATGATAGATGTTTAAAAGATAATATATAAATTTGATTAATTTATTTATAAAACAATAATATAAAATATCCTTATTACTATTAAACAATCTTATTAATACAGTGTTTATCATATTCCTTCAAAATCAATTTTATCCTTATTCCAATTGAAGTTGCATGAACCTTTCATTTACCAAAGATTAAAACACACATTAGTCGAGTTTGTTAGTTTGTTCATCAAAACCATAAAGGTCAACAATATTCCCCCCTCTTGTAGTAGCTATCTAGAACTTCATCGTTGGACTAGCTTAGTTGCCGGCTTTGTTAATAGTTTTAAGTTGTCCCCGTGGTTTAACCCTTTACATACCACTAGACTTTTTTAGGGATTAGTTTAGGATTTATAAGTTTGTTTGATTTTAGGAGGTTAGCTAATGATATAACATTCTCGCTGTCAGAGTTTACTCAGGATCATTCTCTAAACTTGACAAGAATTTGCTAAAACCCAGACTTGCCCAACTCTCAAAATTACAGTCGCTTTGATGATTGGTTTAAATTTAATTTATTTATTTATTTATTTTTTTGGGTCAAAAACTATTTAATAAAATCTAAATTTTTGAGAAATTACCTAATAAAAAAATGTTGTAAGAAATCACTTAATAAAAAGCAAAATGTTGCAAAAAACTACCTCTGGCCGGATTTTGCTGTTGACCCACCTCAAAACTCCCTTGAAACCACTGCGAGGGATGGATTTCAAGATAGTAAAGCTACTTTCAGGGTTGTGGGAGATATTTCGAGTTAGTGAGGTAGTTTTGGACAACGAGATTGTGGTTTTTGAGGTGAGAGGTGGTGGTTTAGGGCCGGGGTTGGAGGGTGGTTTTGGTGTGGCGGAGACAATTTCAAGCGGGTTGTGTTGGTTTTGAGGATGGAAGCGATGGTTTCGGGGGTGTTTTGAGGTAATTAACGCTGTAAAATTTACTTAATGGTGGAAATTTGGCAATAGTATTTTACAATATTTTAACTTTTATCAGGTAGTTTCTTACCACATTTTTTTATCAGATAATTTTTCACATATTTAGGTTTTATTAAATAGTTTTTGACAAAACAATGTGGTAATATATATTAACTAGTCGTCTGTGTCCAATTTGAACATCCAATAAAGAATGTACAATATGATAATGGGAGGGAGTAATATAATAATCCTTTTTGGGCATTTTGTGACTGTAATGGCATGTCATTTCTTCTCTCGTGCCCTCGTACTTCATCACAAAATGATAAGGCTGAAAAGTAAATTCGATCTCTAAATTGCTCATGCATCTCTTTCACCTTATTTTGGCATTATACCTTGCAAATGGCAACGTATCATCATAATATTGATCCAAGAAAATTATTGTTGGACATCAAATCCCCTGTACAAATACTCTATCAAAGGGAACCATCCTATTCTCATATTCGGGTTTTTTGTTGCTTAGGTCGCTTGTGTTACCATCTCATCGCTTTCACAACTATTCATAATTTACAAGCTTGGTCTACACCTTGTGTATTTTTGGAGTATCCACCAAACCACAGGGGCTACAAATGTTATGATTTGTCTTCACTTTTTGCTGATGAGAATGTGTTTCCTTTGCTAATTTACATTCATCTGCTTCATACACTTATGATATTTTGGATGAAGACTAATCTCCATACGTAATCCATCAATTACAACAGTCTGCCCCTTCTCCAACACCGAACACGCAAGCTGCCAGCCTAGTCCACTACCCATTGAATTGCCGGTCACATCGACTACTGAGCAGCTAGGCAGCCCGGCCACTCAGCCAGTCACCTAGTTTTGCCTCCCCCTCCTATCTATCTACTACCTCCGTTTTTTTTTTTTTAAGTTGACACGTTTTGACTTTAGCACTAT